TCGAAACTACCAGCCGCTCCACGGGAGAAAGATGAGGCTTTCTACTCCCGTAAAGATTTACACGCTCGGAAACCCTGTACAGGGTCGCTATGGGTCGGAACCGACTCAACGGCACTTAACAACAACAACAATACATATATATATATGAGAGAGAGAGACAGAGTGTCCTGGTGTGGAGCTGTGGGTTAATGCATCAGACTGCAAAGTCGTTTAAACTGCAAGTTCGGTGGTTCAAGCTCACCAGCTGCTCCTTGGAAACTCTATACAGGGTCGCTATGGGTCAGAATCGACTTGACATCACTTAACAATATATATTGTTGTTGTTGTTAAGTGCCATCGAGTCGGGTCCGACCCATAGCGACCTACACATCCTTTTTTTTTTTCAATTTCTATTTTTTAATGCATAGCTCTAGTCTGTCTGTTAAAACTCTACCAGTATACAGATAGTTGAGGGTTACACATAAATTCTGTTCCTAACTGTGACGTTAAGTCAAACTTTGTAGGAAAATTGGAATAGGAGCATCCAGGTCTTACTTTGGTGCAAGAAAAGTCAAGAAGCCTTTTTAAAGACTGCCCCAAAAAGCCTCTCCTAAACTGTGAAAAAATAAACTGTTTGTCAAAGCCACCACTTGTGCTGTTTCGATTAAAACACCGCTAGAAACTAAGATACACAGTCCTGGCTGCAACTACACAACTTCGTTGGTAATGCACAAATGCAGTCACAGATAATGCGTAAAAAAGTGGGGACAGCTGTGTTCCAATAAAAGTTCATTCACAAAATAGTAATAGTGTTTTGCTACCTACATATTTACCACAGTTTTTTGTAATGTAAAAAATAAACAACGGTGGGCTTTAGCGCGTGGCTGGAGTTTGCTAGCCCCTCATCTAGTGAAAAGGAATAAAGTAACAAGTACTTTCAGAACAACCTGGCAAATACAGTCACAGCAGAAAAGCAGCAGCTCGAACAGGAAGACGGTCTAAGGCATCCACAAAGGCTTCCAGGAAGTGGTGACAATCCATCTGAATATGCCAAGGTTGAAAATTTCACAACTCAAAGTCCTTTTTTTACAATGTGTTACCATAATAAAACAACTTAAATTCTGATTTGGAAAATGTAAGGCCTGCACTGAGTATGTAAGAATTGCATGAATGTATAGAGTATTCTCCTGATTGTGACAAAACTTACTGCAGAAACACACTGAAAGGCTTACCTTGAGTTACTGTTTTAAGAACAATTAAGGTCGATAAAAATCTCACGGGTAAATTGGAGCTCTTAAAGAAAGCAGCAGTCTTTGGTTTAGTGTCCAGAGAATGCTCTAAGGAAGTACCGTGAGTCCCCTTAGGTACTACTCCTTTGAAAATGTCTTCACCCAGTCTTCTCAATGTTGATGTCAGAGTTGAATGCTGTTAAAAAATATATAAATATCTTAATATACTGATTTATCATGTTCGGAAAAGAAAAAAAAAACAACACACTCAATTTAAGTACATTTTGAAAGCTACAATCAAATATTTGTGAAAAATATAAGTCAATTTTAATTTTGAAAATTTTAAATGGAATTTTAAATAGACAAGATTGGAATGTAACCATTTTACCATCAATTCAAAATTTTTAAACAAATTATGTTGTTAGGTACCATTGAGCAGATTTTTGACTCACAGCAACGCCACGTAACAGAGGAGGATTTCCTAGGTGGCAGTGTTTATAGGAATCCTGGTGTGGTGCTGTAGGGTCAGCAATGGACTGTGAACCACATGGTCAGCGGTTCAAACCCACCAGCTGCTCCTCAGAAACCTTACCCAGGGATGCCATGAGTCAGAATGGACTCCGTGGCACTTAACAA